TTACATACTCAATACTGTGGCCAATCCCCACAGGAGCCATTTGGGGTGAAGTGTCTCAGGGACACAACGACATGCTGACTGCAGTGGGGTTTGAACCTGTGACCCCCTGATCCCAACACCAACGCACTAGCCCACTGCGCCACAGCCTCCCTACATCACAGGTGACCTCGCTTCAGCTTCCTCTACAATAGGGGTGTCAAATATACTTTTATTTATTACATTTAATACATGTATACCTTCTTCCTTAATCTGGTTTCAGATGATTCCCTATGTTTGTCCTCCTGGTCTAATATTTAATGGTATTTATATTTAATTTGATTGTTTTTTTATCTTATTTTATTTTATACTATCTTGTCTTTACATAATTCTTCGGTAATTGTATTTATCTTTTGTCGCCGTCATTCATGTTTGTTAATCTGTGAAGCCCACTGAGACACACACACACACACACACACACACACACACACACACACACACACACACACACACACACACACACACACACACACACACACTCATTATCATACATGTGGCCGATTCCCGGCAGTTAGCAGCTTATTGGATTCTACAACTACAGTCACACAACATCCTGATTGTGTGTGTGTGTGTGTGTGTGTGTGTGTGTGTGTGTGTGTGTGTGTGTGTGTGTGTGTGTGTGTGTGTGTGTGTGTGTGTGTGTGTGTGTGTGTGTGTGTGTGTGTGTGTGTGTGTGTGTGTGTGTGTGTGTGTGAGTGTAAAATATTAGCTTGTTCCAAAATACCATCCATCTTCTCCCTCTTCTCCGTGGTCGGGTCGTGGAGGTATCAGTTCCAGCAGAGAGCCCCAAACGTTCCTCTCCCCTCATCAACCAGCTCTGACTGGGGGATCCCAAGGTGCTCCCAGGCCAGCCAAGAGATATAATCCCTCCACCTGGTCCTAGGTCTACCCCTCGGTCTCCTCCCAGCTGGACGTGCCTGGAACACCTCCCTAGGGAGGCGCCCAGGTGGCATCCTTACTAGGTGCCAGAACCACCTCAACTGGCTCCTTTCTACGCGAAGGAGGAGCGGTTCAACTCCGAGTCCCTCCCGGATGACTGAACCTCTCACCTTATCCCTAAGGGAGACGCCAGCCACCCTGCGGAGGAAACCCATCTCGGCCGCTTGTATCCGCGATCTCGTTCTTTCGGTCATGATCCATCCTTCATGACCATAGGTGAGGGTAGGAAGGAGAATGGCCTGGTAGACAGAGAGCTTCTGGCTCAGCTCTCTTTTCCTCACACGGTAAAGCGACTGCAGTACCGCTCCGATGCTCCGATGCTCCGGCCCATCTCACGCTCCATTGTTCCCTCACTCGAGAACAAGACCCCGAGACACTTGAACTCCTTCACTTGGGGTAAGGACTCATTCCCTACTTGGAGTGGACAGTCCATGGGTTTCCTGCTGAGAACCAAAATACAAAATATATGATTATTTCCTCAAAATAAGATATATTTAAAAACAAAGAATGAAAAGACAGTGATACAAATAATTAAATAAATTAATAAAGTCTGTAAAAAACAGTAAACATGTGAAGAATTTGATGAAAACAAAAATGTATATAGAATGAAATCAGTATTATGAAAAAAAGCAGATTTTATTCTTAAAGTATTACAAATAAATCTCCAAAATATAAAAAAAACACTTTACTTCCAACAAGTTTATGATCTTATTCTTAAAATACTCTCTCATTTTTATCTCATTTAAAAATAAACATGTCAGAAGGCGTCTCGAAGAGAGAGAGAATTATAATGTGTTTGATTTTAGGGGCGTGTGGGAGGAGGATTGGAAACGCTCTCATTTAGGAAGAAGCTGCAGAATCAGAGAGAACGTATACTCTGAGACTCTAGATATACAAGCAGAGGAGAAGTACTCAGGTCTAGTACTTGAGTAGAAGTAGAAGTACTCAGGTCTTGTGCTTGAGTAAAAGTAGAAGTACTCAGATCTTGTACTTGAGTAGAAGTAGAAGTACTCAGATCTAGTACTTGAGTAAAAGTAGAAGTACTCAGGTCTTGTGCTTGAGTAAAAGTAGAAGTACTCAGATCTAGTACTTGAGTAGAAGTAGAAGTACTCAGGTCTAGTACTTGAGTAGAAGTAGAAGTACTCAGGTCTTGTGCTTGAGTAAAAGTAGAAGTACTCAGATCTAGTACTTGAGTAGAAGTAGAAGTACTCAGGTCTAGTACTTGAGTAGAAGTAGAAGTACTCAGGTCTTGTGCTTGAGTAAAAGTAGAAGTACTCAGATCTTGTACTTGAGTAGAAGTAGAAGTACTCAGATCTAGTACTTGAGTAAAAGTAGAAGTACTCAGATCTTGTACTTGAGTAGAAGTAGAAGTACTCAGATCTAGTACTTGAGTAAAAGTAGAAGTACTCAGGTCTTGAGTAAAAGTAGAAGTACTCAGGTCTTGTGCTTGAGTAAAAGTAGAAGTACTCAGATCTTGTGCTTGAGTAAAAGTAGAAGTACTCAGATCTTGTACTTGAGTAGAAGTAGAAGTACTCAGATATTGTACTTGAGTAGAAGTAGAAGTACTCAGATCTAGTACTTGAGTAAAAGTAGAAGTACTCAGGTCTTGAGTAAAAGTAGAAGTACTCAGGTCTTGTGCTTGAGTAAAAGTAGAAGTACTCAGATCTTGTGCTTGAGTAAAAGTAGAAGTACTCAGATCTTGTACTTGAGTAGAAGTAGAAGTACTCAGATCTTGTACTTGAGTAGAAGTAGAAAGTACTCAGATCTAGTACTTGAGTAAAAGTAGAAGTACTCAGGTCTTGAGTAAAAGTAGAAGTACTCAGGTCTTGTGCTTGAGTAAAAGTAGAAGTACTCAGATCTTGTACTTGAGTAGAAGTAGAAGTACTCAGGTCTTGTGCTTGAGTAAAAGTAGAAGTACTCAGATCTTGTACTTGAGTAGAAGTAGAAGTACTCAGATCTAGTACTTGAGTAAAAGTAGAAGTACTCAGATCTTGTACTTGAGTAGAAGTAGAAGTACTCAGATCTAGTACTTGAGTAAAAGTAGAAGTACTCAGGTCTTGAGTAAAAGTAGAAGTACTCAGGTCTTGTGCTTGAGTAAAAGTAGAAGTACTCAGATCTTGTGCTTGAGTAAAAGTAGAAGTACTCAGATCTTGTACTTGAGTAGAAGTAGAAGTACTCAGATCTTGTACTTGAGTAGAAGTAGAAGTACTCAGATCTAGTACTTGAGTAAAAGTAGAAGTACTCAGGTCTTGAGTAAAAGTAGAAGTACTCAGATCTTGTACTTGAGTAAAAGTAGAAGTACTCAGGTCTTGAGTAAAAGTAGAAGTACTCAGATCTTGTGCTTGAGTAAAAGTAGAAGTACTCAGATCTTGTGCTTGAGTAAAAGTAGAAGTACTCAGATCTTGTGCTTGAGTAAAAGTAGAAGTACTCAGATCTTGTACTTGAGTAGAAGTAGAAGTACTCAGATCTAGTACTTGAGTAAAAGTAGAAGTACTCAGGTCTTGAGTAAAAGTAGAAGTACTCAGGTCTTGTGCTTGAGTAAAAGTAGAAGTACTCAGATCTTGTGCTTGAGTAAAAGTAGAAGTACTCAGATCTTGTACTTGAGTAGAAGTAGAAGTACTCAGATCTTGTACTTGAGTAGAAGTAGAAGTACTCAGATCTAGTACTTGAGTAAAAGTAGAAGTACTCAGGTCTTGAGTAAAAGTAGAAGTACTCAGATCTTGTGCTTGAGTAAAAGTAGAAGTACTCAGATCTTGTACTTGAGTAAAAGTAGAAGTACTCAGGTCTTGAGTAAAAGTAGAAGTACTCAGGTCTTGTGCTTGAGTAAAAGTAGAAGTACTCAGATCTTGTACTTGAGTAAAAGTAGAAGTACTCAGGTCTAGTACTTGAGTAAAAGTAGAAGTACTCAGGTCTTGTGCTTGAGTAAAAGTAGAAGTACTCAGATCTTGTGCTTGAGTAAAAGTAGAAGTACTCAGGTCTTGAGTAAAAGTAGAAGTACTCAGATCTTGAGTAAAAGTATAAGTACTCAGGTCTTGTTCTTGAGTAAAAGTAGAAGTACTCAGGTCTTGTGCTTGAGTAAAAGTAGAAGTACTCAGATCTTGTACTTAGGTAGAATGAGTAAATGTACTTAGTCACTTTACACCTCTGGGTATTAATGTACTATATGAATACATGTTATACAGATTCTGCTAAAGGAAGGCGGAGAAACAGATTTATTTGAGAGAAGCTTTTGTAAACACAGCAGGACGGAGGTTTCATTCTCCATGTTTTATTTGCTTTACTTCACATACAATGGGCTTCTTTTGGGAGTCGTGACGATGCTTTAGGAGAGAGACAAAGAAATGTTAATAACAGACGTGCAAGAGGAGGGTTTAATTATATATTTATATTTATTATATATGTTTTGTGCAGATTGATCCCACGGTGCTTTATGTGTTTCCCATGCAGCCAAGTTTGAATTTAAATGCATTATATTTTTCATCACGTTCATCTGTTCTCTCACATGGTGTTTCCTTATGCTCAGTTTGGGCTTTAACAGACATTTTGTCGGAGTTTTTTCAGTAGAAGAAGAAATGCACAACTCTTTTTACCTTGAGTTTTCATTCTGTAATGTTTGATGGATGTTTGATTACACATTTAAACTGCTTTTTTAATAATATTAATTATTTCTTTATTTTTGAATTGTCGTTATTTTGTTAAAAATAATATATTGTATTTTTTAGAATTTGTATCCTTACTTATTTATTAGTTAAAATCATGTGTCTTATTATTTATTTTAATATTTATTAATTTTTATTTTGGCATTATTTAAGTCTAATGAATTCTTACTGGTTGGCAATGGATATTAATTATTTTACATATCATTTATATTCATGTATCGATCATGTGAGATTAGCTTGGGTCTAAATTACAACATAATGCTTAATTAATAAATAAATCATTGTATAATGTGCTATTTTTCTATTAGACACTACCGCCATCTAGCGACTGAACGCACGCATTACGTCAGACGTCAAACATGGAGGGGGAGGATCCCGTGACGTCATCGCGTTCACCCTCACGTCGTTGGACTCCGGACGCTGCAACGGCAGTGAAGTTAGCAAACCGTTTCTGCAAAGTTTTAACCAGATACTTTGGTTTAAAAAGGTAAAAACTGGATATTTATGTCTCTAATTTGTTTGTTTGCTTTGTCACAAACTATAAAGTGATTTAACTTCAAGCAGATCGTCGTAAATAGCAGATAACGGTACTTTAAACGAGCTAAATGTACTCGCTTCCACCAAACTCCACTCAAAACATGCACATTTCTGCTTATTAATTCAGTACAAAAGTGTGTTTGACTATATTTATGCACTTTCTTAATGTGGAGCAGTGTTGTGTATTATTCGGCAGATCCATAATGCATGTTGCAAAACGCTTTTTGATTTAAAAGACGTTTTTGTATCTGATTAACTGTCATTAACAGGCTAACACTGTCACTGTCTGTTTCAACAGCTTAATGTCTTTCAAAAAACGCATTAAAATGGTTATAACTGCACAGTTTTGCATCTTGAGCCTATTCCCTTTTAGCTAATGATGTCTAACGTAGCTACTGATTTGCAGAAGTTGTATTTAAGCTGCTATTTTTACTTGCAGCTGTTAGGTGTCCACATGCATGGGGTTATAGCTGAGACAGTTGAACACACTTTGCATTACTTATTAATAACTAAATGTGTATTAAACGTACACATCACATGTGTGTAATTACCCATACCATTTAGAGATGAATATATATGAACTATTGTTCTCAACATACATGTGACAGGAGAAGTCAGTTGCATGTTTAAAATACAACGCCTTAAAGCAGCAGCTCGTGCACAGTGTGTGCTGCAGGAGGCCCTACCTGAACATCTCCAGCTGGTTTCTACATCCAAGCATGATCAGCTTCATAACTCAAACTGTCTCTATTCATTCACAGGCAATATTATTACCTCATGCACTGTACAAGTCAATTTAAAAGGACTCCTGACCTAACATGTATTTATCAGTATCAGAGGTGGTGTATTATGTATTGTCTCCATACAGTCGGACTACAATGTGCTTTAAGTTGAAACGTCCACGATGCATTTCTTCACCTTTGCTCCTGAGATAACAGATGTGTGTGTTATGTGATGTGTGTGTTATGTGACACTGTTGTGTTCCGGTTTAACACTTAATCTAGTTTTATTTTGAAAGTCCAACAAGTCCTGTTTTTGGGAGGCTGTGGCTCAGTGGGTTAGTGTGTTGATCTTTGGATCAGGGGAGTACAGGTTCAAACCCCACTGCAGTCAGCATGTCGTTGTGTCCCTGAAGACACTTCACCCCAAACAGCTCCTGTTGAGATTGCCCACAGTATTGTATGTAAGTTAGTCGCTTTGGATAAAAGCGTCTAACAAGTGACATGTGATGTAATGTCATGTATTTGAATAACAGTACATGAGTTTACTGCAGCAGTCGTTTATATAAGACTCAGTTATTGATCATTGTACTGTTTAAATATAATGTTAAAGTCTCTTTGTTGTCGTCCTACAGTTCAGAGATGTCTCTCACTCAAGTTTCATCCAACAAATGTGCCGGAGGCTTCCAGAAGGTCTTCGAACATGAGAGGTGAATATTCAATACATTTACACACACACACACACACACACACACACACACACACACACACACACACACACACACACACACACACATACACATACACATACACATACACATACACATACACATACACATACACACACACACACACACCTGTGGAGGTATGGTATGAATTAATGTGTGTGTGACTGTGTGTGTGTGTCTGTGACTGTGTGTGTGTGTGACTGTGTGTGTGTGTGCAGCACTGAGCTCAGGTGTAAGATGAAGTTTGCTGTCTACCTGCCTCCTAAAGCTGAGACGGACAAATGTCCCGTCCTCTACTGGCTCTCAGGTGAGTGAACAATCTGTGAATTAATTTAAGAAATGTATTTATAAAAGAAGGGCTACTTGTGCAGTTATTGACTCTCAGCCACATCCAAACAATAGTAAAAATAAATAGTAATAGTGTTTTCTTAATGGACTATTTTCAGCGGGGGATTAATCCACATTTAATGCTCGTTTTAATAAAGCAACATGTGACTCCTTGACAAGTTTTTTTTCTAACAATAGAGCCTCATTTTGTTTTTTTTTACATGACATTTACTAAAAAATAATAAACCAAAATCAGACTTGTGCTTTTAAAAAAATCAAAACAAATATGATTGACCTTGAAACAAGATGAATAATCTGATGCAAATGATGCCGAACAAAATATGAGTGAACCTAATCATCCTAAAATAAGATATTTAGTTATTCTTTAATCACATGTCCTCCTCTCTGCAGGGCTGACGTGCACGGAGCAGAACTTCATCACTAAAGCAGGAAGTCAAGTTCTTGCTGCAGAACACGGGATCATCATCGTAGCTCCAGACACCAGCCCACGTAACACACACACACACACACACACACACACACACACACACACACACACACACACACACACACACACACACACACACAGGAACACACACACACAGGAACACACAGTCACACACACACAGGAACACACACACACAGTCACACAGACACACAGTCACACAGACACACACAAACACAGACACACAGTCAC